TTTAAATCCAACATGTCAGTTAAATCGGTTGGATCAAATAGTTGCCGGTATCTTAAGGGACATATGGCTTATTTCAGCCATTTTCTTTTTATTAACGTTGTTCTCAACCCATCACAATAATTTATGCGGATTATGAATAGTGCCTCTATGAAGTGTGACATACTCGCATACTGACTGCTGCTTAAGTTGATTCCTCAATCACCCGTCTTGGGATCGTTCGCATGAATTTATTTAAAAGCCATTCCGAATAGTATTTAAATATTTATGAATAAAATATTTTTTAAAAAAATTTTATTCGGCATTTAAAAATTCCGACGGCAATCATCTTTTTCTGCTTAATTTAATAACAATGGTGATTCAATTCAGATTTGTGGGTCTTTCATTCGTATTGGCCATTCTTGATATTGAATAAAGGCATATATACATATCAATCAAACAGTAATGATTAATGATTAAGCAATAAATCGCCTGCAAATGCTTTTTTATCTTTTAAAAACTGATTAAGCTGAATAAATAATTCTTCAACGACAATTTTTCATTAAAATTTATTTTTTTTTCAAACTGAACGGGTTTTCTTAAAAATGAATTTTCTGTAATAACAGTGATTAAAATCCTCACTGAATATTTTCCTTAAACTAGGGGGGCTTTATTTCAATATATTAATGATACTTTGAATGAAGAGAGGATTTGAACCGCGCTGACTAAATTGTTCACGCCAATGCGTCACTCACTGATAACGGGCGATTATGAGCATGTGGCCCAGCTATGTGTAGGCTTAGGTGTTGGATAAGCGAAGAGCTTCAGTTATTTATTTTTAGCATGGCACCAAATAGAAAACCATAGAAAACCGTCCTTATACATGAAATCCAGCCAGATCAACAATAGTGAAGGCTTTCTTAATCTCCGAACGTCTCGAAAGTTATGTTCAACCACAATCATTAATAATTATAGCTTTTTCTGTACGTGAAATTCTTTTAATAATTAAATTATTACCAGCCACAAATAATAAACAAAAAAAGACAAATCGTTATTATGCGATAGTTGGTTAAATTACGAGTCGACCGACGAATACTGCCTGGTAATAAAATTGAAAGTAATGTAATATAATTGGATTTTGACTTATAATTTAGTATAATTTGGTCCAATAATTTTTTAATTCACTGAAAAACAATCTGCACCAAAATTTGTCCACACCTATCCACAATTACCCACATTCCACCATCTACCCACAATTATTTTATTATTTTTATTAGTTTATTTTTTATTTTATTATTATTTTATTATTATTATTTTTGTATTTGTCATTAATCCTTATTATTTATTATTTTAATTGTTGTTATTAATATAAGCACATGGCGTTTGCTTGGCTGGTTTTCAATAAATAAATAATTACGAATTTTCAAAATTAAGTAAAAAGAACATCCGATATTAAAACCTGCAATGGCAATATCACTGTGTTGGCGATGGAAGGAATATCCAGTTGAATCTGTGCATGATACGATCTACAGATTATGATTATTGCTTAAATCGTATGCGTTAGACAGTTTGAGATTAAAATTTTTGCTTGTATATATTCTAAAATTTGTTTAAAATTAGTCTTTTAACCAAAAAATTTAGATGAATTTCAAATCCTTATCGAAGAATGTTATTTTGACTAAGATCGAGCGTCATGAATCTTATTTAGTGTCAAATTTATTTTATTTATTTACTTGTATGACAACCTGTTTCCTCTTAAAGATGAGATATTATAGTGAACTTGCTAGATAATTAAGCGTAAAATAGGTGAAAGGACGCATTTTCACGATGAATTACGCAAGGCATAACCAGCAAATGCACGCTGGAAACCTCAACAATTTTATATAATAGCCAGTCGATCTGTTGCATAATTTAATTGATATTAAAAATGGAATGGCAACAAATATTTGAAATTTGTGGGAAAATATGCTTTATTTAAGAATAGAATACTATAAAAGAATTATTTATTTGGCTCAGGACAATAGCTATAAAAGTAAAGAGAAACTAAAGAAATGGTTGACCGATCCAAGGCGAACTTTCGATGGTGAACAACGCATATAAAAACTTCCACTACTGATTAATAAATCATAACAGAAGTATCGTAGCGAAGTCCCTTTAATCTGCTCTCTGATGACGAAATGCTAATAACCGCCATTAAATACTAATTAAATTATGTAAATATTTGTGCAAAATTCCACAAATAAAAAAAATAATCGTCTGGAAAAAAATTAAATTTGATCGAAGCTCTTTTTTGCAAATTAAAATATTTGGTAAAAAGTAAACTAATTTTTCATTTTTTTAGCAAATTCATTCATTGCCTCCTTTCAATACTCATTTAACTATTGGACAGACATAAATAATTTTTTCAGATATTTCAAATTTTGAAATATTTTTAATGATATTAAAAATGAATATTAAATGAATATTAAATAGATAGATGAATATTAAAAGTTTTAATATTCGAGATCGGTTGTATCGGAAATATGTTCCTAATTTATGCGCCTTGACAGGAGTAGACTTACGGTCAAACATAAATTAGTTACTCCGAAATCACCTATCTTGCAGTAGATTTCTGGCTTCAGCCCAACGCTAGAGTTCGCCGAATCAAAAATGGTAAATGCCGTTCTGAAAGAATTTCCAGATTTTTTTTCAAGATTTGTCTGCATTAAAACATGCATCTCTTTAAAGAATGCATCTAATAAACCACTTCTTTTTGGCGGAATTTTTTATGAAAGAATATTTGAATTATCTGCACATTTCAAAAAAAAAGTTTTTTATTCTCAATTAAAATATTTAGAAAAATGAGAAAAGCTAATAAATAAATAAAGAAAATTGGAAAATAAACAATACTATTAATAGAATTGTAGCATATTTTTTGCGAATGCTAGAAAGCTATGGCGCAAAACTATTTAATAGAACAGAAAGAGCAGTTTCATAGGTGATGTGTATTTCGGTCTTGCATTCGAAAACCATAGGATCGGCCAGTGCACCGGCCACTTGACGGAGCTCTACTAAGAATGAAAAGTAATGGAACAATGGAGACTCGCAATGATTCTATCTGTCCAGTGATTTTGAAAAAAATTAACTAGGAGGCAGCCAAAAACGATGGTTGCTCTTAGTAAAAGAAGAAGCTCTATTATTAAAAAAGTTTAGAACGAGGAGTATATGCATCCTTAAATAAGCCTCCACTGCCTCTACTTTTTACAATTTATAATTTCTTAATTTTAATTGCTTCTTCTTTCCATTTCTCCATTTTTGTTTGTAACATTATTTTGCAGATAAATCATTCAGAGTCACTGTTTTCGAATGTTGAGACGTGAAACAATTTTTTGAAATTCCTTAATCCCAAAATTCCTTATATCATCCTGTCTTATAACAATTGCAGCAATATTCGCCAATGGATTCAAATTACAAATTATTGCCACATAAATCGTCGTTATTGCAAAAACTTCTTCGGTCGAAAATCTTTGTATTAAAGCCTTTATTATCAGTGGCATTACATAAAATACGAAAGTAAATCCATTTGTAATCGCCGTTGTTAAAGAGAGTTTCATTTGACGCTCTTTGAAAGCTGATATTGCATTTTGATTCTTAAATTAAATTAATTAATTATATTCTTCATAGAATTTAGAAAATAAATTGTAAAGGAAGTATTTAGCTGATATGAAGACTACTCTCCAATTTCTAAAACTACGAGAAGTGGCAATTCTAATTCTTCCAGCTTCACAACCTTGCTTTTCTCTTTTGTTACCCTAGCAAAAAAGTGTTCATTGTTACTCATTCTAAAAATGGCTGAGAAAATTTAATGTGAATTAAATATAAATCCATAAATTATCTCCACCAGATGAGTGTCCCTTATTCTGCAAATGAATTTACGTGCAAGCAAATAAACTGTTATATAAATAATTATACTACAGATTGAAGAAATTATCGTCAGATACAATGTGAAAGATCGAAAGTAAATAGCTGTTCCCTCTGTCGTCCTGAAAAAAAATTCTTTACTTGGATGGCTTATCAGAAGCAAATGAGACCGACGATCTTCTTTCCACGGCTGATAGATTGATTGATAAATGTCAAAATGCTTATTAAAATTAAAAGTGATTTTATAAATTTACAGTAATAAGTATTTTTGATATGTTAAGAATTTTAAAAATTCACAACAAAATATTACATCAAATATTTGATAAGACTTCGCGGGCAATTTTCATTTGAATCGGGGATAATTGCTTAGATAAAAATATCGACTAACCAACAAAAACTGCTTTTATCTTCTGATTTATCCGTATATGCGATACACCAATTTATGACCTCATAAATTCCCAATATGACCATCAGAAAATATATCTGAAATCCCTAAATTTTGAAGCGTAGTTTAGATTTAAGTGGCAACTTGTATGTGTGTGACTGATTCTGCATGCATGAAAAGGATGGTTGCCGCAGGCTCAAACTGAAAAATCAACCTATGTAATGAAGAAGACCTTTCGATATGCTTATATATTATGCTTATATGCTTCCTCTTCAAATTATGCATACCTTTTCCATTTGGACTAATGTAATTGATGACTAATATGATAATATAATAAATAGTGATAAAATCATTTATGAAACTTTCATCGATATTTCGATAAGTTTTTCGCATCGTTCTCCACTCTAAGTTAATATCATTTCCACTAACTGCTAATGAAATTAAGATGTTTGCTTGTTTAAGAAATTTTGTGCGTGGCAGAGAATGGGATGTTAGGTAAATTTATCGAATTATATTATATTCCACAAAACACTGGCATATCAACGATTTGCCATATAATCATCCCTCCTTATTTTCATGTTTCCAAATTATACTACTTTCGCAATCGCTTTACTCCATTAATTTCATTACGCAAACTAATATATTTCAATATGAGATTTCAGAATGCAGTTTTCTTCGTATCAGTATCAAAAAGTTCATGTTCTTCGGCATAGCGAAGAAGGCATTCCTCAATGGCGCATCAGTCTCCACATTTGCCAATTGTCGAGGTCGCAACGGCAACGGTATTATGATCCACGCCCATATTCCAGTCTCCCACGATTATGACCATGTCACGTTTCGGTATAGACTTTCTTAGTAGCTGCAATTCCGCATAGAAGTTATCTTTATCACGGTCATATGCCGACAAAATTGGAGCATAGATGATCGATATATCGCAGAAACTTATATTTAAAACGGATTTCCACTCATTTGGTGACCGCTTGGCTTGCAATACCTCGATAAGCGTTCTGATGTTCCACACTGATACTGCTAACACTTCGGCGCGCGTGCAGAGGGCCGTTCTCCTTGATACGCCTCAAGCAATTATCCTGGCTTGCGAGCATATTTTATTTATGAACCTTGGGATCGCCTGGATTTAATGCTTATCGCATGTACTACCGGGTTGGGAGTATCATGCTCATTGAAGGACGCGGACGATGTGTCAAGAACATCTGACCCTTTCACCATAGAATCATTTGTGAATAGAATTACAGGTGAAATCCCAGCGAACAGGATTTTTGATATGACAGGTTTATTCCTGTTGAGGATAGGTATTTCTAAATTCCACTACATTCCTTTGAAATAACCTCTTAATAACCTCCCAGTTATAGCTGCTCAATACGGTCTGAAATCCACTCATAAAACCCTTTAATACGCTTAGCAAGTAGCAAAATATATTTCTGTTTTTTTTTCAATTTGTGATTTATTTCTTTTTAAAATGATATTTTATTGATATATTTTATTTATTTGTTATCTACTTAATTTTTATATTAATTTAATCAATTAATCGACATTTATGATTTTATTATCAAAATAACTGGTTTTTTCTCCATATCATTCAATATGAAATCATAATAAGAACCTGATTGAGCTGGAACTTTTTGCCTTTTTGAGAATAAGGTATTGGAAATCGAATCGCTAAGAAGCGATCAACACTTACCATTAGGTGATATATCGACGTCACTGGCTCAGTCCTGAAATGATTTCTGAGAATTTTATGAAAATTGTGAAATTTCTCAAATCTACTCATTCTACTAAACAAAATTCACGCAACACAAAGAACAAAATAGAAAAATGTCAGAGGAATCATAGTTTCTTCCCATCTTAAAATACGACAATCTTGTAAATGAGAACTACGGCCGCTGAATAAATTGCGAAATGTTTCCTTAATATTTTAATGCAAAGAAAGTAGAACAGCCAGATGAGCTCTTCTCATTCCGAGCATCAATGCTGGAGTTCTGCTCTCTGCAGAAATATATTTGTCTTTCAAAAATCTGCAGATGACTCTCTGGCAAAATTCGCCTCCTTCGACAATCCAGCGGAAAAAAATCCGAGCAGAAACTCTTAGAAAAAATTGCTTTGATTTAAGCTAATACTTTGCTATAAAAGTACTTTAAAAAATAAGCAGAAAACTTTTGGAAAAGCCATTTCTTTAAAAATCAAATTTTTTTACGGCTCGCTTGTCATAAGAAAAAGTTGGAAAAATACGGTCAGCTAACCAAGAATATAAAATATTCCATGGCATAAGCATGCAATATCGGGTGCTTCGATATTCCGTCGGACTGGAATTTAGAACAATCGTTCGACCGACTCCGGCTATGAACTGTGCTGCACCATTCATGGCATCGTTAAATACCTAATACAGTAATATGAGTCATACCGGAAGTTGTAAAAAACGAAATAAATTTCTCAATTTTATATTTGAAATTTGAAAAGCCAATCAAATTTTCCGAATTAGTGAAATAATTTCAGACATTGTTGTTGCAGTGGAAGTAATCAAAGATGGCACGCATTGTCAGAAGGAGAAAAAAGCATGGATTAAATGATAAATTATCGACCTAAATTTCAATAAAGCTCAAAAACCACTTATTTATTAATAATTAAAATTAGGAATGAAAATATTGGAAATAATTGGAGTTCGAAATGAATTTTGAAATAACGAAAAAATGGCTAAATGGAATTTAAAATGATAAGAACAACGGTTGGCCTGATTTAGAAATAAGAAAATGACCGATGGTGGAAACTGAAATGGAAAACTAACCGATAATTGGAATTGATAAGTAAAAAGTTGAAAAAAATATTCTACTTTTCTACTTTTATCGCCGTTTTTCACAGAATTGGTCAATTCTTAGATTCCTATTCGCTAAGTGGCTAATGGCTAAAATAGGATTAGGGAGTGAGGGGTGCACTCGCATGATTTATTTCATGCAGTGGCTAAAAACTTCAATTCTTCGTCGGTACGCTAACTCGTATGGAAATCGCCTAGCCTATTGACAAAACATCCCAAGAGGATTTCCTAATAATGTATCGCTTGCAACTCTCACTAAGCCACGAATTCCAGTTGATCCAAGGAAGATCTCAAATAAAGTCGCCAATTACTGGACAACAAAATGAATAAAAAATTTAAATAACGAAAAATAAACAAAATAAAATTTCTGTGAGAATATAAACCTGCAGTAGAATAATCGTATAGCGATTCCTCAGCGAAGGATTTTTGGCAATAACAAAGGAAGCGAGTCCACAGCAAATCATCAGAAATACTCCTTGAATGGTATAAATCGTGAAGAGTATTTTGTATGCCGTTGTATTCATTTTAAAACGATATGCATAATTTTTCGAGAATTTTTTATCAAAAATTTGACGATTCAGCGAAAAACACCTTCCATCAGCTCAAAACTTTTTATATTAAAAATGTAGATTTTCATTTTTATGAAATTAAAATAATCAATTTTACATTATAATTGCACTGATGTGAGCGATTATTTAATAGCGCAAAAAAAAGCAGAATTTTCACGAAAAAAGCTAACATTGGAAGTAAAAAAAACCCGACGATTTACCATTTAATTAGGAAATTTTCGCAGCGAATTTTCTCGCGAAAAGATTTCCTTAGTGAAAGAATTGATAAATTAATGGAAAGCACTAATCCTAGAATTTTGCTTTTATTTTGCTTTTGTTTTTCAGAATTAAAGTTTTAAAAACAAAATAATTAAGTGAATTTGAGAAATAGGTGAGTTTGTGCTCACATAATTTGACTAAATATCAACAATTTAGATAAATTTTGAGAAATAATACAAATTTTCAAGCAGTCAGATCCGCTTTCTTGAACTGACACAGAATGCCGAAGTGCATGAAAATTATTGTTAAGCATAAAAGCAAAACAAAAATCGTTTTTTAAAATTAACGAGGGCTGCAAAAATAAATAAATACGAGCATTGCCCAAGTGAATATTTTTGAAGAAGTAGACGCATTAGCCAAGTCGATGACTTCTTAGGCCTCCACTTCCTTTCTTTTAATCGAATTCCCACTTCACATTCATAAATTATAGACTCGAATTTTAGCGTTGTAATTTCACTCGTACTTGCTGTTTCACTTGGATTTTCTTTTTTTAACAGCTCTCACCACTAGTGGATCGGCTCCGCTGGCTACGGCGTTTCCAAGCTGTTAGATGCGACGCCATCTCTGACAATAATAGGAGCAATTCCTTTTTCCATTCTCTAATTCCATGTAGTACGAGTCCACCTAGTCCACGTTCAAAATCCTTCCTGACTGCATTAGTCCAGGTTTTTTTGGCCCTCCTCGCTTTTGACGCATCAATCAGGTAATATAGGAGGCTTTAAGCATGAAATAAGTAATAACTAAGCAAAAGCTCGCTATGCACAGATATTTATTAAATTTTCATGGATATGCTTCCTTATAATAAATAATGGACAGCGGAAAAAGGAATGGGTTCTATTCCGTTCAGACATCAAATGGAAAAGCTGAAGAAGATCCCTCACCTTCATAGCCAATTGTTAAAATTTATTATAATTAACTTAACCCCAAAACCCCAACCCCAAAAATTAAGCTGATTTAACCCCAAAAATTAAGCTGATTTGAATTGATAATTAACTCTGATTGACTGATAATTTGTTGTATAAAAAATTTGTATACCATAATTTGACCTAATAATTTTGATTTTTTCTCAGCCATCGTTCTTATTTTACCGAACCGAAACTGCCGAAATTGCATATGGCGTTAGAAAAGATTTAAAAAATTCACCGTGAAAACAGTCTTCGGTCGTTCTCCTCGTTCGAGAAACGTTTTTTGGGTAAATAGGGTAATCATTTAGAATAAAAATATGATAAACTGAGTGGTGCATCCATCTTTATTTTTTTTATATTTATATAACTTTTTAATGGAACGCATCGAAATTTTATGGCACTTATAAATGCCAAAAAATTAGAAAAAAGTAAAGAATTTTATGAAAAGAGATATTTTTTAATTTTCCTAAATTTCACTTAAGAATCTCAGTTGCCTATTCTTATTTGAGTAATTTATTGAATTTTATCTTTTACCACAGCATTCTTGCATCTGGCAAGAAAAAAACTGGTTTTATGTTAAATTATTGTTGAAATTAATGAAATAAATCGCCAGGAGGAAGAAAAGCCAAGTTGAGTACCACGATTTTTCTGTCCAGTGATGAGACGGGATTTTTCTTCTTCCAATAGCTTGCACACTGGTATAATTGAACCCACTGATGGCAAGGCAAGGCTTTACAAGCCTCATGTCTTCAGTTTTATATGCTTGAAATCAAGCCGCTGCTCTTTCAATTAGCTAAACATGGTGTGCTTTCGTTTTATGGCTGATTTCAACTTTGAAGAGGCTTCGCCAGAAGGAATTTCAGCTCTGTCACATCGCCCTAATTTTGTTTACTATTTCGCAATCCACAATTTTTTTGCAAAATTAATTTTAGGTTAAATCGAAAAAATTGAAATTTTGAAAAAAATCAAATATATTTTTGTGTATTTTTTATTTATTTATATTTTCATATTTATTAAATTTTATTTCTTATTATTTATTTCATTTATATTATTTATTTCTTATTGCAATAATCTATTTATTTAATTTATCACTTATTTAATTATCGACCGCGCAGTGGTTTTTTGAAAATTTATTTCTAATACTTAAATGGCTTATTAATTGTTAGTTAAATGCAAATTTCCAAATGGAAAATTTCAGCAAATTCATTTTTAAATAAAATATCGAAGATTTATTCGACTGTTGTAATGTGCCATCACTGATTTTATTATTAAGGCGAGTAAATACGAGTGGCGCAGAAAAGTGAAACTTATTTCGACATCGGCGAAAAGAGACCCCATTCGTGGAACTAGCGGAAGCAGAAATTACGAAAGCTGTTAGAAGAAGAGGAAGGATATGGAAGTGAAAGATTTTTGAAAATTCTGTTAAAATTCTCGCATATAAAACAAAATTAACCAAATAAAAGTTGAGAAACGAGAAGAAAATGTTTTGGAATTCGCATAACTTCTCGCATTAGAATCGAAATTTATGCGATCAAATCGCTAATCACATTTGCCGAAAAATTTCTTCAATATAGGATTTATAAAAATTAAATTTTCCTATAATTCAATTCCGCGTAATTTAATTTATTTTGTGCAGTTAGAATTTATATTATATTATTTTATTTATATTATATTTAATTTATATTTTTAATGAAATAAATAATTTATTTAGGAAAAGAAAAAAAAGTTTATAAGTGTTAATTCGTGCAATTCAGTAAGATTTTCATTGAAAAAAGATTTAAATGCCACAGAAAAAAGATTTCGCTGTTTAAATTTGCAAGTGCACGAGGAAATTGCGCGTGAAAAAGTCACAAATCTACGTGAAATTATGAAAATAGGAACGAAATTTTGGGAGAAAAAGACGCACACGATAATTTGCCGTGTGATTCCACGAAAAAACCCACACATAATTTACCATACTGAAATCTCCGCGTGAAAGCAAAACGTACGTGAAAAGTTTCAGAGCGAAAAAATTCTATGCGACACTCGTACGCGACAAACTTGAAGGCAAAATTAAAATGTTCACAATTTTTCTAAAAAGCTGATGTGAACCAAATCTGTTCCTTACTTAAAAAGGCAAAAAAAACTGGTTGACAAAAAACTGGCCGCTTAGCGCCCTAACATCATTTCATTCACGGTCTGTAACTGCGAGGAGCCGAGCTTTAGACGAGTACGAATTTGTGGCCGATGCTGGCCGATATTTCGTGAGGTTTAGGTTAGGGCGCATTTTTTGCATTTTATGTTTGTTAAGGTTGGTGGGTTTTGCTTGTATTTAGAGCTAAATAATTCATTTCAGGTTTGACTACTGAATTTTTTCAAATTTCTCCTCTAATAAATTTGATTCGAAACTAAAATATTTTATTTCAAAATTTATAAATTGTATAAATTTATTTGAAATACGAAAATATTTGCGATTTTACACAAAAACACATCGATTAGATGAATCGGAAATTTTCAGTGCAAAAATTACTTTAAAAGATTTCATTGAAAAGGAAATTTATTGAAAAATTAAAAAGAAATTCAACTAATAATAAGTGAATCGAAATATTTCATCGGAATTACTTACAAATTTTTCTTTTTTCATTCGTAAACTTCGCTAAAATAATTCGACGATTTATTCAGAGAATTTACAAATGAAAGCGAGTAAAAACCACAAAAATTCGGCAGAAGATTTGGTTCGTTTTTTGCATTTATTTTCGTATAAAAAGTTAGATGTACAAAAAAATTATGAAGCGGATTTTTCCTTTTTTTAAATAATATTTATGGAAAAAACGATTATTGATGATTGCCGTTGATGATTGGAAGGGAGTTTTACGGCTTTCTTCTCGCTCAGTTTCTTTTCATTTCTTGTCTGGCTGGCTTAATGTTTCGTGCACCTCGCTGGCTTTATATTCGTACATACTGCTGAATTCATGTTCGCAGATTTTGTTCAGCGGTCAGGCTCAAGTTTTATCATTATTACGCATGTGCTCTCCCCTTGCTGTGTTTGAGTGGGCTCTAGCACAATGAAATATCGGTGGATTCATGTTGATGAGTATGTTTAACCTAAAATCACATATCCTCAATCATTTAAAATTGGGACCTCGAAAAATTTCGATTATTTCGCTTTGCGAAGTTATTTTTATTAGCTGCTAAAAAAGAAAGATGTGCAATTTTTTGGACAATATTTTTAAAGTTTGGAAGATATTTATTGGAAATAATTTTTTCTTTTAATTTTTTGGTTTTGAACTTATTAATTATATTATTAATTATATGATGTCTTTTTTTTTATTTTGGATTTTTGTTTAAATTTTGTTATATCTCAAAATTTTTGAAAGATTTTGAAACAAAAATTCCTTCAAAATTTTCTACAGCATCATATGTCAAGTAAAAATTGAATAAACTATAGCACTGTTTGCTTCGCTGTCCTTTAATATTTTTTTTTAAAATAATATTTTTTTTTTCTTTCAAAAATATACAGTAAAAGATATGTGGAAAAATCCAATTATAAAGAACATAATATATAAATTTGAATTTTTACATATACATTAACATATAAACGTGTAAAATCATTAATTATCATATTATATCGCATATCTTTTTAGCTTATTGAATATAAAAAACAAGTAATACGAGACGCAGAAAAGCTTGTTCTGGAAGAATTTCCGAAAAAAGTTCTCGAATTTAATGGTTTATTAGAGGCCGGTTTCAATTTCATTTTTCTATTTTAGCAGTTTTACAAATTATTTTTTAAGTTTTCAGATCACTTTTAAATTATCGCCTGCAGTTTATTTTTATATTTTTTATATTTTTGTTTATTATAGAGTGAGCAGTTCTCTTACGATCGTTTAGAAGAAATCGTGCCAAAGGGCCATATTTCAATACCTCTACCCGATGAACTTCAATCACAGGAAAATAATGTTTGCCATTTTTCATTCCCTTTATGTTTGTAAATTTTGAAATGAATTATTTTTTAGGGCAGAATTTTGTAGATTTTGTAGTAGAATGAAGTGTATGAAATTTTAGCCTGTCTGCTCTTTTTGCTATTTAACCACAACAATTTAATTCATTGCCTTTTAGACGTGAACTTTTTTTTAAACTGATTAGCTGGCAGTGCACACCTCTTAAATCACTTTGATAAACACTTTCCACAAAGCTTGGGACTTTAAAATGTATCTGATTTAGCACATATTGAATTCCATGATGAAGAGGTGGAATGGCTTATTGGGTTGTTGTTTAGTTCGGAGCATAGGTGCTAAGTTCTTTTCCTGCTCAAAAATCCAAAGTCCAAAAATCGGGATGATACTGGCGACCCACCTGTATTTCTATCGTCAAGAGATTCCATGGCACATTTGTCTAGTGCGGTGGAGAGAGTTTAACTAGTAATGGTGAGGACTCTTAAAAAAGAAAAAAAGAATTCTATGATGATCGAATTTATTATTAGGCATTTCTGAATTAATTTTAAAATTGCAGTGCGAAGCTCCAAAGAAAAAAAGAAAATTGTGCGAAGATGGGGATCAGATCTGTGGTAATATCACGAGTTTCAAAATTAATCACTTAGAATGAGTTAATAATAGTTGGTATTTAATAAGTATCTTTAATAAGATTTGGTTTTAATGTAAAATGGTGGTTTATGTTGCTATTAGGTTTTTCAAATATTGGAGGATTTGAAAATTGGAAATGTTTTTGTAATCCGCTATTTAAAAAATGGTAATATTAATTATTAATTTTATCTACAAATTATATCTACATATATAAAAAGCTTCGCATTTAAATGCTTTAATACAGGTACTCCAGTATTCGAATTTGTTGGTGGCGTTGTGAAATGCAACGAAAAATTGGCAGTCCTTACAGATATAATGCGTCCTCTCCTACGAGATGCAGTGGAATCAGTCAATCGAGTAAGTGGTCATCAAATATTATTTTGTTCAGATCTATTCGCTTATTTTTCCAAAGAAAATATGATTTAAAACGTCTCTAAAATGTTTTTGGTTGGCTCTTTGATACCTAATTTATATTAGATTTTTTAATCTAATATAGACAATTAGGCAATTTTTTATAGGTTAAATTGTGGATCCTTTTTTTGATTCCTCGTATCGAGGATGGTAATAATTTTGGTGTATCAATTCAAGAGGACACTCTTAGTGAAGTTAGTTCAAAGTATTTTGCAGTATTCAAAGTATTCAAAGTATTTTTTTCATAAAAAATATAAAAGAATGTGAAATAAGAGCTTTATCACAGGTGCGAACTGTGGAAGGAGAAGCAGCATCGTTCTTGGATCAGTTATCACGTTATTTTGTTAATCGTGCTCGTTTAGTAACAAAAGTTGCCAAATATCCCCATGTTGTAAGTTTCAGTTTTTGTATTACCCAGATAAATTTCCTCATTTTTATTTTTTTTAATTTCATATTGTTTAAAGAAAATCTGTAAGTGTTATTTAAGGAGGATTATCGTCGGGCCATCCTTGATATGGATGAAAAGCAATTTACGAACATACGTTTAGTATTAACCGAAATGCGCAATCATTTTGCCACACTTCATGACATGATAACAAAGAATCTGGAAAAGATCAAAACGCCGAGAAACAACAATGCTGAACATATGTATTAAAGGCCCATTTGTTATTAAATTACCGTTTTATTCGCTTTGTTGCTATGGAAATTGAAATGTAAAGATTGAAAGTAAAAATTGTAATTTTTAAATTGAATCTGATATGATTCATTTATTTCTAAAATGAATGTCTATAGCAAAAAACTACTGTGATCCTCAGATATTTTATTTTTTGTTCCTCATGAACATTTAGCGTATTTTTTATGTAAATTTGTGTTTCTATTCATTTATATATAAACGGTAATATTTGGTAATGCCTAGCTCATTTTCCTCAAAAATATATGAAATTTTCAGTGCGCACGTGATTTATTTATCATTAAGAGTGCGGTGGCTTATTTAGCCTTATCTGGATTAAAATTTAAATTTGAATAAAAGGCCCACGAATATAATCCATTCGCTTAAACATGAAAGTCTTTAAATTTCTTGCATAAATAACCAGTCAGTCGTTTACTTATGAATGGTGCCTACGACATTATATCTATCGTTCTCTGGATAAAATTTAGCAAAAATTTTATGAGTGCATAGAAACTATTTGAAGTGGTTTGTGGGTGGGCATTGACCATTTTATTTCGCGAGTGGGCATGTCATACAATTTGATATTTGACGAACATATTATATGATAAGGTGAGAGAGGGAATTCCTTAAGGTTAAGGTTTTTAAGAAAAACATAGCAGTTCTTTCTTTATTGGTTATATTTAAGGTGAACATTAGAAGTGATGAATACATAAGGTAATAAGTTTATTTAATCAAAAATCAAATACTCGTTAACTCATAAGAATTTATTGGAATAGAGAAAAAAGATTTTTGGTATTATTCACAATAAATAACTCAGGTAGTCCATTTCACCTGGTCATCTATTTCTCGCTTAAGTCCAAACTCTTTAAAGACTGGCGGCATAATTGGTGATAGGATGGCTAACTGTAATAATGAACTACCATAAAAATCACGGAAAGATGAATTAGATTAATATTTTTGAACAACGCATTTCAAATGAAAAATGAGAAGAGAACGTAGAATATTTATTCGCTTGGTTGTGAATGAAGATTTGAAAATGGCATATCCAGAATTCTCTCTATCCTGAAAAATCTTGATTCCCACTTTTATTTCCCTCTTTTCCGAAATTTTAGAATTATTATATGAAAATTTAATTTTTCCATTATGCGAGTAGGAAAACCCCGTAAAATTGGGCAAAAAAAAATCTCCTATAATCAAGAATGAACTGTACGAAATCAAATCCGTTACTCTTCATATGACTTTATTTTTTCAGTATTTTTTCAGTACCATGGCTTGACTTGTGATTCCTTTGGCCTTTTACCTTTATTTATTATTCATAATCATTCATATTCGTTAATTTACCTTCCACACGGAGTGTTTTCTTCCATCCAAGTAACAATACAGGTTATCCAAAATCGACTAAGAATTGAATTTTCTCTTGCACAATTATCAAGTTCACAAAATGCGTGATATATACTGAATAATAATAATAATTATAATTTCTTCATAATTTAAGAATAAAATTTTATGTATAAATTTGGAAAAGCAAGGGACTCGTAACGATCCATGCTGATTCTTGTTGTACTCTTGTACTGGCATCTAAAGTTGAAATGACTGTGGTTCCACTTCACTTAATCGCCTCTTTCGCTTCAGTTTTCTCTTCCCTCCAAAGGGAAAGCGCTAGAATTTTAATCCTGGCTTTTTTTGTCATAAAAAACTTTTGTCATTAAAGTCGCGTTGCCTTCAGATGGATTCCGGCCGATCTTTCGGTCGTTTCCAAGTTTGAAACGAAAGGTGCAACAAAGGTGAAAAGGGAAGCTAAACATTTCATCAGGCTGCCACAATTAATGTTATAGGCGTCGATTTAAAATGCCTTTTCGACTATAAACTTTGATTCGTCCTACTGCAAACCGGTGGGCCAAATTAAGCCAGGAAATTGACTTTTTCAAAAGTTCGCAAACCTGAAAACGGCCACCGATAGCCAATAACCTAAGAGCACATCGATTGTATAATGGGTTCGGCTTATAACCATACAAATTATACCAATCCAACAAAATGCTTGAATAGTATATCTAAAATAATTGAAAAATCATTTTCGCCATATAACTCATAATTATTATATGTAATCATAATTAATATACGTGGCACAACTGAATTAACCTTTTCACGATAGAGAAATGGTCAAATGAACTCACTTCAAATATCGCAATCCACGTGGAAAATAATAAATGACTGCCAAAGAGCTTATGACAACTGAAATTGTATGACCCGAAAATAATAAATCACCGCACAGCATATTACCATCATTATCCTAAATTTTTCCTATAAATTTTGAATAAGTGATTTCATTTTTGCTATTGAAGTAGAAAAATTTTCAAAGGTAAACCTTTATATATATATATATTTATATTTATTGATAACCAGCCAAACAGGGCGCAAACGCCATGTGCTTGTATTAATAACAACAGTTAAAATAACATAATTAAAATAACAAATAACAAATAAGAATTAATGACAAAAATAAGAAAAAAAAATAAAATAAACAATTTAAAGATGAAATAAAGAGGAAATTACAAAATAATTTAGTACAATTCGAAATTACTATAATCGGATAGTAAAAATCGAGATTTCACACTTCCTGCATCATGTGAATTTTTTAAATAATATCATATAAATATCATAAATGATATTATCTAATCTTTTTTTAAAGACAGCTAGGGATGGAGCACAAGCTATATCGTTAGGTAGTTTATTCCAGTAATTAATATTACGAATAAAGAAATCATGTCCTTAGTTTAGTTTTACATAGGTTTTAGTAATTTTAGCCCATTAGTTCTTCTTGGATTTAAATTTAACTTAAAATTATAATATTTTGAACAATCGAGTTTAACATAACCATACGAAACCTTATAAGTATAAATTAAATCTTGTTTAATACGACGAACTGACAGGAAATCCAGGTTATATTGTAGAAGTTTTCTTTTATAATTAAAGTTGCAATTAAAAGAGAGGCGCTGTATAAAATATTTTTGGGGTCCTTCAATTATTTTACTTGATTTACGATATCTCGAGGAGTAAAATGTAGTATTGTAGTCAAGAAGTGGCCGAAGAACGCTTTTGTTCTTAAACGAACGAAAAATAAAATTTAGTTTCTTTGAGATATTTCTTTACCATATATTCTGCAGCGAAGTCGAAATCGAGATTTTCATCCATGATTATTCCAAGATCGGAAATGTATGAGATTCTACTGATTATATTGCCATTAATAAGATTAGGAAAATCGAAACCTTTGGAATTGATATGAAGAGCGCTACATTTTTGAAAGGAAAGGGTAATTTGCCTGTCATATAGCCAGCTGGCTATTCTGTTGAGGTTCTCTTGCAGTGGAGATAGACTAATCAGCATAAATAGTAGAATTTAGTGCCACATTGGTGATATCATTTATATATATAATAGAAAAAGCAATGGCGCAATACAACTACCTTGGAGAACACCAGATTTAACAGGTGTTGTGTCAGAAAGAATGTTATTGACGCGTACGGCTTGGTGACGATCTTTTATGTAATCTGACAACCCAGTTATAAAGGGCCCCTGTAATGTCATAACTATTAAGAGTGATCAGTAATTTGCTATGGGAAACAGTATCAAAAGCTTTAGCCAAATGCCAAATCTAGGTACGGTACACAACTGATAATGTTTTTCCAGTGCCAATTGATGCTGACCAATCGGAAAGATTTGCCAATATTTGTTTGATTTGCCAATATTTTTTGTACATAGGCCATGCTGATAAGGAAATATAAAATTATTGGCACCAAGATAAATAACCAATTCATTGCAAATCAACCTTTCGAGTACCTTGCTACCAACGCATGTGTCGTAGGTGCTTTCTTTTTTATCAATGAGAATTATATGAGACTACTTCCAAATTTTTGGATAAAGACCAGATTTGTCGTTATAAATTAAAAATAGGGGAAAACCCAGTAAACTGCAATATCGGTTTCGGATTTCCGAAATTAAAACTATTATTTAAAAACTTATTTAAAATTATTTGACTGGAGAGAGAATAATGCAGTGGTTGTTACAAATGATGCTAAAATGTTAAGGTTGTGATTCCAGCTTATCAATAAAAGGTAAAGGTGATGCTGGAGATTCATCTTTTTTATCTCTCAAGTAAAATTTTCTCTTAAAAAATTCTCTCTCTTAAAAAATTTGCCGGCAAAAATTTTTCTTCTAACTTAATCGGAAACGGCAATCGTACTTAAAAAAGTGTGAGTCTTATTCGCATATTCCCCAATATATCTCTCTCAGCCTTAAATTTTTTTCTCATTTTTATCATTTCTAAAAAAGATGCGAACCTGATAACCGAGTTTAATAGCTTGTTGAAAAAATCTTTGAATATAAATATGAATCGTTCGTTCACTTTCGTTTAAACGCCGCATGCATTGCAAATCATTATGAATATAACCCGATGGTAATTGTGTACATATAAGTGTTATTGCTCGCATTGTATATAGAATAGCTAAAAAGAAAGAGAACAACTCAATTTTCGGACTGCATTTTGGCCTTATCAAGATTTTCTGGAATATATCAATCAGCTGATAAGAATGGTTAAAATGAAGAAAATAAGTAAAAAATCGTTCACTAATTGTTAAAGTCCTTTGTTCACAATGAATGAAACATTAACCCATTATAAAAAGTATCCGTCTTATCACAACCAATCGATGCTTATGTACAATTGTTAAAATAATAAAAGATAATATGCAAATGAAAGCCATGAGATCACCAACTGTTGAGGCCCATTGTTGTTCAGGAATTAACGAAAATACGATATCTGGAAGCGGCTCCCTGAAAAACTATCAGTGTTAAGATATTCTTCTTATCCTTCAGTATAATGAAACTTGTTATTCCCCTAAATACCGCAAAGCAAGTAAATTAATTGGAGGAGTCCAAAAATACTTTGCATGTCGCCTTTCACCTAATAGCAAACTCAGTTATAACCTCAGTTACGCACCACTTACTTCAGCTAAACAACCCGATTCACTCTCAATTCGACGAATTAAGCAAGATTTAATTCAATTTATTCTATATGGTTATATGAAATTAGATTCTTCAAAATATCAGAATTTCGAGTAAAAATTTGAATCGAACAAGGTCCAAAATCTAATGGGCAAAAATTTTTAAAATTTGAATACAAAACGATTTTTCTGCTCGCACCATTAATTACTGGAATAAGTTGCCGAACTTCCGAGGTACGAATTTGTGCATTATCCTTAGCTATTATTTTTAATAAGATTAAATAATATCGTCTGTAATATTATTAAAAAGATTCACGTTGTGAAGGTAGCTTTGAAATTTTTATTCTCCGATTACTATGTTCACTATCACTAATACATTCACGTCGACTATTCCATAATTCCTCTCTACTGCTAATTTCTTTTCATTGGTCTATTGTTGATAATACAAGCACATGGCGCTTGTCATCCTGCTTAGATATTTCAAATGTGATACCCTTATCACATTTTTTTTCTACAATATTCATTCGCACTACGATATTATCGTAATATCGATGCAAATTCCGCGTATATATATATTGAAATTATTATAGAAAAGGATAGATGGAGAAAGCCAAATGTCAAATCATAAGTGCTAAACTAATTTTGTGAGCTTGTGTAGGTAAGAAATTTTTTTTTATCTCATGTGGACGGTAATAGTCATCCTCAACCTCTATCCTCCACAAAACAACTGGTAGCTTGAGGGTTCTGCGTAATATCTGAGCCATTCCTACCAGTTCCGGACAGAGGTCTCTGATGTTGTTTCTGGAATCGATTAAAGCCATTTTTCTAATTAGGCAGTCACACTTCCTAGTGCTTCTATTATCACTGGGACTACTTCAACCTTCATTTCCCTCATCTTCTACAGCTCTTCTTTGGTACTTATTGCAAACGCCGATATGGCGCAGTGGTTAAGGAGGGCGATTAATAATGCAAGATCAAATTTTGTAAGTCAGTGTTTTCGGCGAGGTAAAGGCAAAGGTCCTCTGAAGGACCACTTGTCTTACATCAAATATGGGAGTTTCGCATATTAGAATATGTCGTAAATCGTCCTCAACAAGGTCCGCATCAGACGTGGATGACGCCAAGTTATATGTTTAAAAATATAGAAATCGCTCATTCAGTGGTTATCATTCTAACTGGAGAATATAGCGGATGGTAGTAAAAAAAGGAGCTGATGGTCTAAGGACTATAGCTGACAAACTAAATACAAAGTATATTAGTGCCCAACAGTCCATCATGATAACCACGATGAAAAATTGCAATACCACAAAGTAAGACAGATGCGAGCGTTAATTCAACTCAAAGGGAAAAACTAAATATGCCACATGTAAGCTAACATCATCACGCATGCAACTGACATAATGAGACGGACAAGAAAGGAGGAGAAATTCCATCCCAAGAATAACCCCCAAAAAATCCAAACCAGCCGAAGAGATGTTATCAGCAACGAAAGCATTCAGAAAGTATAAAAATGTTTCAGAAACATTTACTGTCCAAAAGACTTGCCCAGTAGCAGAATGTAAAATGCAAGCAATAAATGATAGACCCTTTTCGAAATCGTGGAGATTGATAAGGCCAAGATTCTGCGGGATTCTCCATCCAAAAATCTGTTGACCGATATTAGCAATTCCAAGAGACAAGGATATTGGCAAGAAGTATTAGAAGCTAGAGGTATATCAGAAGCGAAAAGAAAACTAGAAAACATTTGGAAAGTGATGCCAAATTAGTCCCAGTGGCAACAGAAGCATTAACGACTAGAACAGCGACAAAAAATGGCTGCAAGATTCCAGAAACAATATCAGAAATCTTATCCAGAAGAGCACACACCACTAGGAACAGCCAAAATATATAGAATCTTCCAGTTTCAAGCTTTTGGACCTCTGCTAGTGGACTGAATGACCCTCACTGCCTGCCTATAGAGGATAGGAAATGCAAATTATTTCTGACTTCATCGATTTCCTAAAAATTTCTATAAATAATCGACAGACGTTTCGATATTTTTGTACGAAAATAGAGGAAAATAAAAAGTCAAAAGATAATACCTTAATTACCTTTCAGCAAAATCATGTATATAAGCTAGTGCAATCCAATTACATGAAGCGGCAAATAGTAAAAATATGAACGACACGGTAATCCTATAAATTTCCGAGAATGATGCATTCATTGAACGAGTGAACTGCTTCAAGTATAATTCCTGATTTTCTAGATCGTCCTCTTTCAGCTTTAAATAAAACAGCGGTAAAATAAAAATGAATATTGAAATATTTCCAAGTAATTTAGCTCAAATTACTTTTCATTAAACTTCTGTTTCGATTTATCATCCATTATCACTTTGATGTTTGTTTCTCCTTTAAACTCTAATTCCTATCAGCACTTATCATCATTATTATCATTTCTGGTTCCGTAAGCTCTAACCCGCTATTACGTTGGATCAATTTCCTTTTCAACTTTCAGAAAACCAGTTACCGATAGAAATACGAATGGTTCCTCAACGCCGATTTTATTACAATTTTACAAATACATGAATGAAATCTTTTCAATTATTTTGTTGACTTAGCAACATAAACAAATAATCTATTAACCCATTAATAATTAAATAAAACAAATATTTTAAATAGATAATCCATTGATAAAGATTTTGAAATAATCGCCCGTTCATATTTTACGAAAAATTTATTTTATTTTATTCAAGTAAAATAAAAGAAAAAATTGATTCGAAAAAAATTCTTCTTTCGATTTATTTTTTTTGTTTCGATTTGAAAAAATTTTTTATGAAAATTTCCTTGTAAAGTATTAAATTTATTATTATAGTATTATTAAATTTCCAAAATATTTTTCAAAAATCCAATTTCCAGTATTAATGATTGATTATTACTAAATTATTTTCGAATGAAAGAGGGGGAGGCACGATAGGATTGTTTCTCCTTTAAACTCTAATTCCTATCAGCACTTATCATCATTATTATCATTTCTGGTTCGGTAAGCTCTAATCGCTATTATGTTGGATCAATTTCCTTTTTAACTTTCAGAAAACCAGTTACCGACAGAAATACGAATGGTTCCTCAACGCCGATTTTATTACAATTTTATAAATATACGAAGTTTTTTCAATTATTTTGTTGAATTAGCAACATAAAAATAAAAAAATCCAAAATTTAATCCAATCTAATATTAATGATTGATAAAAATCCAATTTCCAATATTAATGATTGATTACCACTAAATTATTTTAAAATGGAATGATAGGGGAGGGGGAGGCGGGATAGCCAAATGGATATTGCCTTAGGTCATCACATCAAAAGGCAACAGTTCGCATCCTCCTAATGCTGACAACAGGATTATAGCTTCCATTAAAAAATCCTCAGTGATGCTAACTTACTTGTACTTCTATCGCCAAGTGACTCATTAGCGAAAATTTTTAACAGCCAGCGAAACAACTTTAGAAGTAATGAGCGCTAACCATCTATTTCATTCACATTAAATTAATTATTAAATTGATAATTATTTTAGAAAAAATAACTTTGAAATTCTGAATGAAAAAAAAGAAAAAAAATGGTGACGCAGCAAGAAGAATTTACTTTAATAATTTTCACATGTATTTTTTCTGAAAAACTGAACAAAACAATAATTTTTCATAAAATTAGTTAAGAAAGCAGTAAACAAGTAAATAAATAAATGAATTAATTAATCTTTTCTGCTTTCTTATCAACAAAGACTTCGTCAAATATTTAGAATATATAAATGAAAATGATAATTTTTCGTGGAAAAAATATTTTAAAAAAATTAATACCGAAGTGCAAGATGGGTCGCTTATCACCATTTTGTTTCAAACATTCAACTGAAAAAAATTTTCTATTTTTAATATTACAAAATTTTTAATATCAATTAATAAATACGGAGTTTGCGCTGAATTTCCAATTTCTTACTTCGCTATATAAAAATCTCTACGCAGAGAAGTAGTTTCTTCAATTGGATGGGGATATAATGGTTGCTTCTTGGAACTAATTCTGACATTAAGAAATCTGGGTGGTGCTGGGGACAGGGGCTCACACCTTATCCTTCCAGTCAGTGGAGTAATTGACTGGTGATTGCTATTTAAAGAACTCTTAAATTTCAGAAACTGGGAATTTAGGCATAAATAATTCCCAACACAGAAAACAAATTTGACTTTGCCAAAAAATATTCTTGAATGTAGTCAAATTAGGAAAAAAATATTCGTTTGCAAACGACTTATATTATTATATTCAATTTTAAGTACAGTTTTTACAAATTGTAATAATTTTGTATAATAATTTTTGTTTTAATAGCACTCATCACTACTGGTTGGATTCGCTCATCGCACTAAGACAAATATGCCAAGGAGTTCCTTGGCGATAGAAGTACGGCTGAGTCGTCAGAATCACCCAGATTTTTAGACAGGTTTACTCCTGGCGAGAGCAGAATCTCAGCATCGGCGCTCTGAACTGAATAGCAACCCATTTGAGCCATTCTATTCACACTATTACAATTTTATGATTTTTCACAAATTTTTTAAAAATCGTTGTATATCGTTGATATCGTTGACATTAATTGAAATTAATCGAGACGCCATATTTACAGTGAAATAGACAAAAATCATTTTACATATAAAGGAA